ACATGCTGTTGGACAGGAAATAATGTTCTTCCCGCTGCATTAGTGTTTCCAGCTCCAAAAGGTCCTCTCTAGGAATAGTCTGTGTGGGGAAAAAGTAAAATAAATGCATGGAAATCAGTAGCACAGGTTCATACAATGCACACAAGAATAGACATCCACATTTGTTTCAAGATGAAGGAGGAGAGGTACCCCACAGCTCATGTGTTTCCTTATTAAGCAAGAGCAGTGTTGTGTCACTTAGCAGAAGTATAAACTGAGTTGGCACTTTGCAAATCGCTCATTTTCACCAGCCAGTCCTAAGGCCCTGATTCAGCAAAGCAGTGCAGCAGAAAGTTGTCCTTTCCCAGTAAGCTTTACTATTCTCAAAGCAGCATGGTCGTCACCAGAGCCCAGCTCTAACACACGTGAGCTACCTACCTCCATTCTCTGTCAGCAGTAGTGAAAATATCCCAATCGCTTGGACAAACCTGCTTCTTAGAACAATCCCCAGGGGATTTTTACGTGGATAATTTCTTGTGGGGGACACCACAACCAAATAGCCACATGTTATAGCAGGCCACATCTCTGAGACGTGAGAGAATGAGAGAATTTACTGCAGTGTTGTAAAGGTCAGGGATAAAATCCTGGTTTGCATCTGAAAGCCTGCCTTATTAGTTGATAACAAAGGATTTTTTTTGGAGCAATTTATCATGGCAGTGATTCGTAACTTAAATGACTGTAAAGATGGCTAACTCAGCTTGAATGCCGAATGAAGGTAAAAAAACATATAGTCTATTGAGTAGCATGGTTAAAATCCTTTTTCAGTAAGATATTTAATAGCATTTATAATATTGGATCAGCTAGTCATGTTAAAAAGAGAGAATAAAAAACTACCATTCTTTTATACTACTTATTTCCTTCCCATTCATTATTTATGCATCTGTTTTCATTGTCTCCAATTATTTGTTTAGTAATATATTGGTAACTTTAGCTGTAAGGTTATCTTACTTTTGCAGATTGTTAGGCTTGGATTCAGTAAAGAATAAAAATAGAGCATTATCTTTTTATACTAACTTATATCAATAGACTAAGATAGAGGGGTTTTTTTCCATTCCTCATTTTTAACTATGGAAAAATGGTTATTAGTCAGAAGGGTTGGTGGACAGCACAGCGGAAAGTTGTTATGAATAAACTCTTTGGAAAAAAGTGTGACCTTAACAAAACAGAAGTAGGAAGCATTAGGCATCCTGTAAACAGTTTGGTTTTAGTGCTGACGATAAAGTGAAGAATAGATTGCAGTCCCTGAGCTAAATCACTGCCATGGCCATAACTGCTCCAAAACAGGTCAAAGACTTTCCCCAAAACGCCCTGTGCTGGGTCTCAGGGCTCCTAGCAATAGGCAGGATAGTGCTGCCGTTGCTTCTTTGCGGGGCTCAGCTGCAAGTGTCTGCAAACACGGAGGCAAGGGTGTGGGGAGGGCTGCTACAAGTAAAGGCATTAAATTGCTTGGGATGAAAAGGTATTCTTGCAACACAGGCAGTGGCTAAGCGACATTAAAGAGCATTGACCGATCAATTCAGTTTAGGTTTCTTCTCTGAGTTTCAAATATGGCAGTTTTGAAAGGCCCCAATATAACTATAGCAAGTGGCAGAATGAACCGTAATCTTCAACTTATGTTTTTCACTTGCACAACCAAACTGCTTAGAAGTGGCGTGGCCAAAATCAGGAAAGGACCACGTAGACTGGCATAGGTTTCTACACAGGTTTCCTGGGAGGATGATTCAGAGCACCTAAATCCCTAAGGCGCCCTCCAAAGGAGCCTCTTTTCCCCTGGATTGTGTAGTTAGCCTCTTAGCTTAATCATGGGAATTATTTGTCCAGTTTTAAGCAATGTGATTCTGTGCTCTAAAAAAATCTCCTCACCATTGGCTCCCACCCAGGACTGCTGATTTAAGCAATGATGACTGAGGTCTCTAAGCCGGTAGGTCAAAATCCAAGAAGCTAAACGGCAAGAACTATGTCATTTCTGGTAACATCAGGGACAGATAAAAAACCTGACCTCTTGCTGCGCAAAGGTTTGCATTGTTTGTGCCCAAGCATGTGGGAAGAGAAGAGGCTATTTGCTTGGTGGAGTTAACAATTAACATGCATGTCTGATTTTTTTTTTAGTTTTGGTTTGTTTAACAAAGAGTATCAGGTACAGAGGATTGTTTCCTAACACTGAGTTAGATCTGTGATTTGATCATGCTGATAGTTGGTGATTTAAAGAACACTGGTATTAGCAATAATTAGTAGTTGCTAGGAGTTTTGACAAACCTTTTCTGCCTCATAAAACTCACTGAACAACAAGGCTGTTTTCTGCTGGTTCTCTCAACCTGAAAAGCTCTTGCTCCCTTTTGATGTTTTTGGAGATAAAAGTTTCAGGACTGTGAGACAGAATGAAAAAGGGGGGAATTGATTTGGCCTGTTTTGTTCTGTTTTTAAAGTCTGAATCCAAATCAAACATCTTTTAATTGACTAAATGAAACCTCTTGATAGATATGGACCAAGATTTTATTCTTCAGATTTTTTTTCAGTTTGGAAAAACAAGTATTTGCTTTGCAAAAACAAATTGCATCTGGGCTTTGACGGGAATGCTGCCTCCTGCCCAAACCAAGCCACCAGCTCAACATGACGGTAACGTTTTCATGCCAGTCTGCTCTTTGACAAACAAGTGTCAGCATCAAGTCAAAACTCCAACTGACTTCAGAAGAAAGGTGCATTTAGCAGGAGCTACAAGCACTGTAAATTAAACGCAGTGACTCCTTTGCATTCTGTCAAGCTGTGATTTTATGCGGGTAACGACGTGCCCATGTTAGCGAAGCACACAAAACTCCCAAGCAGCTGATCCGTGTCTCCTGCTCTCTAAGATCTCTCACTGTATAATTTAAGACCTGAGTTAAATTTCGTAACTAAAAAATATTAAACAAGCACTGTGATTCTAAAAGCGTTATTTAAAAAAAAAAAAAAAGCTTCCTGATTCCAACTAAGAGCTCAAATAATTTTCTCCTGACCGCTATTCTCCTGGGTCAGCGTTTCTCAGGCTGTTCCTATCACAAGCGAATTCTCCCATTTCTACCTCCTTGCCCTCCTCAACCCTTCGCAGAGGACAGTGCCGGTGCAGCACAGTGCTTCTTAACCCAGACACCACTGGACACCTCCCGCCCCCCAGCTGCTCAGAGGAGGATTCGGCTGAAGCACCCAGTTCGTGGTTGCTGACCTACTGACAACAGTCAGAGAGGTGGGAACGAAGGAGCTGTAATGTCTCCAGCAACCCTGTCGTTGTCCAGCTTCTTCTTGCAGCTGGTCCAAGATGGAACTGTAGGCAGCGGGACAGGAGCAGCGTTCAGGACAGATCAGGCTCAAAAATACCTCCTCACTCACATATTCATGAGCTGCTCTGTTCAGTCCTCAGTTCTTGGAGTGGATGTTTTTGGCTGGAAAGGCCTGGACATAAACTACCTCTTCTAAAATCATGGTGGCAGATGGCTGGGTTAGCTGCCTGGAAGTTAGAAGGGGGTGAATCATCGGTAATGTGCATTTGATGAATTTTGCCTCTTTTCTGCCCCTACGCTTCCCCCCAAAATCCTTCGGAGGAGATATAATAACTTCCCTAGAAATGAGTCATTGTACCAAACTCTTGTTCAACCAATTTTGGGGCTGTAGCTTATAGTAAGAAGATCATTGGCAGAATTTGGTATGCAAAATTGGAACAGTTTTTATCAGATTTCTCAGTCTTGGGCAATACTACGGTGCCCTCACAGGAGGGATAACAAATGCATAAATCAGATATTTAGTCTGAGGAATCAACCATTACAATGTATTTGAAAATATTTGCTCTTTTTGCTTGAAATAGATTGTTCATTCCAGCACATTTGCTAAGAAGTTTGCAGGAAAAACAAAAACACAACAGATACAAAGGGGGAAACACATATGTTTTAAAATAAGAAAGACTCATTCTTCCAAAAACATTTGTATAATATTTGTCTAAGTCTCCAAATATGAGCTTTTTTTTTTCATTTTACTGAGATATATTTGAAGCCCAACTAGATTTGACACGAATTAATAGGAAAGCCCTTCCAAAATCTGCCACTAGAGGAGAAACAACATGTTGCTGGATCCAAAACATCCAGAGGGGAATTATGCAAAGAGATTACTCATCACTGAAGCAAAGTCTAAAATTCAAGTTCCCAGCATTGACTTGTGCCAGGGCCACACCACCACCACCATCTCTCCCTGTGCGTGCTCCCTTGTGCAACAGGAAAGAACTTTTGCCTCCACTGCAACTATTGCTGGCCAAGACTTGACATATCCAGATCTGATCCATGATTAACTCAGGCCATTTCCTCATAACACTGAGCTCTTCTGAGATAATGTGCTTTCCTCCTTATGAGAGATCGGGTTAAACCCATGAAAGTTTTAATCTTCCTAAAACTTTCCCTTCTTCTCGGAATGTACCATTACCAGTTTAGGTATTTGCATTAGCCATATAGCAGGTGAACTCTTAAGTGTATAGCGTATGTGGTGCTATGAATACGTGCAAAGACATGAACTGCAACAAACTGCACAGCACTGATGTGGGACTCGTCCAGTTACAGCAACCCAGGCTGGTGACAGGCAAGACATCGGCCCCTGATTCAACAAAGAACTGAGCATACGCTCATCTTTCAACTTTGACTTTAGTCAGCTGTATGCATGGCAACATCGATTTAGCTGAACAGGGATAAACTCAATACAATTTGAATTCCTCTGTAAATAAGAATTGGTCCAGTATAGCTGTCTGCAACAATCCTACCGTGATCTTTCAAATATTGACTGACAGTGCCAGTTCCTGGAATAAGCAATACAAGCTGTAATTAAAAATACGCTTTTACCTCCGTGGTTGCAGAGAAAGTCTGAAAAAGTGACTCTGGAGTATGTCAAAGGCTGAGAAAACACGACATCAAATGAAAGCAACCACAGAATGTGTTAGTCTTAAAGATTTCATGACTTTTAAAGTAATCTCTGGATTTTTGGATGGTCAAATTCTTGAAGTTGAGGTTAGCGATTCCCCAAGTTTGACTGCCTGCCTGGCAGCTGAGGTTGTCACCAAGCTCACATGTATTAAAATTGCATAAAATTACAGAAAAATAAGCAAAAAATAAATTAGTATGTTACTTCTATTGATTATTTCTGAGCTTGAAAACAAGCTGTAAAAGAGTTAATCCAATTGACACGGAGGCAACTGCATTGTCTCCATGTCAAGGCCTGGAGCAGCTCCACTGGTGGTAGCTGCACCGATGCAGACTCATGCTCTGTCTGGGAAAGGAAAGTTTCTCGTCTTTACGCTTTCCTATCCGGGTGACTCTGGTTTAACTGTTGGCGTGCTCGGTGCCAGCTGCTCCGGGAGAGCAGAAGCAGCTCTCAGGAGGGGAGGGCAAAATCATTTTGGCCTTCTCATGTGCTGGGGCACTTGCCAGCTCCACTTCGCAGCAGGTATGTGTTCCCATGGGAAAGGGCTCTGTGGAAAAAAAGAAAAGAGAAAGAAAGTGAGATACAGAAAAACACAATGGAGGAAAGCAGCTCGGAGAGAGAGAAATGACAGCGGTCCTGCCAGGAGCCCAAGACCCCAGGGCATCTGTCTTCCCGGCACCGGTTAGAGAGGACCCGATAGCACACAAGGTGCTTAAAAGCAATGTTTTTGTGCTCTGTCCTGTGTCCTCTGATAGGTACACGAGCAAATAGCAGCACCTCGGTTCACATTTTCGGTTGTCAGCAGAAGGAGCTTTCACTTCACATTCATTATCGCCTAAGTGAGACACTGTGAAGCCGTGAAGCAAAAAGCAATGCCACTCACACTGCTGCCGCACTGATTTTCAGCTCCATGAGCTGCCAAGGAGCGACGCAGGGAGAGCTAAGGACAGGAGAACCAGGCGGACTAGGCACCTCATCACAGCTGTGATTGACTCTCTTCAAAGGCAGCTGAGGAAAGAGGTTGTGGCTGGGCTGCTCCCTATGAGTCTGGATTCAGAGATTTTCCTGGTTTGGGCCTGTGTGTTTTATTTAACAACAAGAAAAAAAAGTCCTTTGATTTTCTGCTCTGTTGTACAAGCACTTCTGGAGAAAGTGTGTGGCTGGCACCAGGCTGCAGAGCAAGCGAGAGACTTTCTGCACATTCTCAGTGTAGGGCTGGGATGACAAATGTATTTCTTTTTTGCATTGTTGCAGTGGGTTGTTTTGCCCGATTTTCTGGGGGAAACAGCAGGGGGCTTCTTGTCCCCAATTATGTGAATAACTACATTTGTTTCAGCATTGCAAGAAGTGGCTAAATGCTTTGATTCTGAGAAAGCCACGAGCAAGATGCCAGCCTTGCGCACGGGAGAGGGGCCGGTCCAGGGCGGGCTGCCACCTTCCCCAGCCTCTCCGGGTGCTCTGAAGCACTCAGGTCTCTGCTGACAATCCCAGAACTTCAGTCCCAACTGCTGGCCGAACCCCCGTGGGCCTGAGGGTCTGCATTTGCAAAGACATCTCGTATCCAATGGTGCCCTCCGGGTCGCCGGCTGCCCACAGCTTGCACGCAGACACCATCCTCCTCCTGCACCCACCAACCGGCGTGGCCACAGGCACCTTTCCAAGGTTGTGCTCCCCTCTACACCTGCAAAACGGGACTCACAGTACATCTGTACTTCAGAGGCTGGTGTCAAGCCAAGAGGATGTCCAGGTTGTGCAGCACTGTGGTGCTTTAGGTAAGATAGATGCTATTGGTATATTTGAGTTCACCTTGTCCCAGTATCTGCTCAGCAATGGGTGCTGCTGGCTGACACGCTGAGCTCATTCTGTGCCGTCCTCTTGCCAAGAGCAAAAAAGTCCATGATAATTTTTAAGTGATCTCTGTGGAAACTGCCATCCCTTTTATTGTGTCTCTACGGCTTTCTCCAGGCCTGCCCCAGCCCCGCAGTACGCATGTGTGCTCGCAGGCGGGGACACAACACTCACGGTGCAGCCACAGCCAGGCGCTGAGCCGACAGCAATACCGGGGCCACTTCATCCCAACTGGAGCATCGGAGGGAAATGCACCACTTTAGATGCATTTATGGTGTGACATACACACACAAAACCAGTTAAAGCCAGACACGTTGCAATTTTTGCTTTGGCAAAAATGATTTGAGGCAAATTCACAAAACAGTTTCAGATGAGAGAGCTGGTCAAAACTTGGAAAACAAAACAAAATGTTTTAGTCCTTTTATTTTTTCCCCATTCAAAAATACTCCATTTTTAAATGTGATCGTGTTTTTTTTTCAAAGGATCAAACAAACCAAAAGTGTTTCAGCTTGGGGCTGCACAAGACATCTTTGATTGGCCCCAAATGATGGGGTTTTTGTTGTTCAGTGTTTCATGCCAGCAACACAATCATTTGACATCAGTCACAAAATGCTTTCAGTTCTTTGCCCATTTGTGGTCTGGTAGATCCTCCCTGCCTTCCCACCAGTCTGGTCTGCCGTGCCGTGGGACCTCCGCGTTTGCAGGGCTCGGGCCTCCAAGGCAACTACAGCTCGAGAGTTAGCGAAAACAGGGTTTCCCGACTCCCAGGTCCCAGGTCGTCTGTCTCTGACTTGTTCCGCCTGCAATTTCTCGTCCCCCCATCATACAGCAGGAAGGAATTTCACTCACTAGGACAATGGAGAATATTTCTCTTTTCACCACTGCAGGATGTAGTAACAGTTAAGAAAACAAAGGTCTACTTCTGAGAAGGAATCTGCTCCATTGTTATTTAGGATAGTGGTAATAATAATAATGATGACAAAAGTAAATATTAATACTGAGACAGGGCCAGTGCTAGGGGTGAGAGATGTAGATGGAGCAGAGCTGGAGCTGTGGCCCAGCTGTTTAGGCCCCTGGTAGGCAGATGTCTCCTCTGGCCGAGCAAGGCTCTGCGGAGCCGCGGCCTCGCAGGCGAGGGGAAGGGCTGGGGGAAGCGGGTCCTTCCGGGCACTGTGGCTGGGTCACAGCCCGCAGGAGGAAAAAGCTCAGTTTTACCTCCCTTGCCTTGAGCTGCTTCCGTTTATATGGTGTTTTACACCAAAGAGTTTATAGCGGCTCACGCAGTAATCCCTGGAGATGAGCACCCTCTAACAGAGCGCGCTTCAGCCTTACATCTTGGCCAAATACATTTTTGGGGATCATTTCATTTAATACAGGAAGAAACTTGGGTAAAGGAAGAGTTAATGGAGCCCTGAAAGCATATATAAGTAAATAGCAGTGTATATATTCCCATTCTACAGATACAAAAGAGGATCAAAGCTTTTCTGTATGTGTATAGCAAACCACATGTATTACTCTTTTTTTCCTGACAGAAACAGGAAAGGACAGGATTCATTTGTAACACGTCATCCAGACATCGATGCGCTCCATGCAGTAAAAGTACTCAGACAATATTCAGAAAGCTGGATGCGTAACCGGCTGCAGGAACGAAGAACAGTGTCCTGCTACGTGATGGGCAAAGGGGGAAGGGAGTTGTGCAATGCGGGGCAGCATGACCTCGTGTGTGATGCGTGAGGCACTTTTTTCCACTAACACAGTAAAAAAATCCCAACAGATTGCAGACATGGGCAGGGCAAACAGCTGATCTCTATTTGAAATTTGGGATTAGTTGTCAGTGGTTGGATTTTGAAAATTTTGACTGTATTTACAGAGTACCACAAGTGCAGAAGACTCCTGGGAGTTTATCTGGACCGTTTCCTACAGCTGGGGAGACTTAGCAAGACAAAGTGCATGTGGACAGGATAAGAAATCATAGGCTTTGATTGCCTTGCAGAAAATCTAGGTTAAACATTAGGAGAAACTTTCTAGCAGTGAGGACAGCTGAATATTAGAATAAATTACCATGGGAGCTTGTGCACTTACTGTCACTGGAGGTTTTTAAGAACAGGTAAGAAAAATATCTGTCAGGAATTATGGAGACAGCACTGATGCTCACTTTGGGAAGACGGATGAACTAAACGACCTCCCAAGTTCCCTTTCAGCCCAACTTTCTCTGCTTCTGCGGTGTTGCATAGTAGTGGCTGGCAGATAAATTATAACACCATGGAAATTTCAATAGGATGTTTTTTGTTTGGGTTTTTTTTTTTTTTTGGCTGAAGGAGATGTTCTGAGTTCTCTCTCCAGCACAGCATGAATACAGGCTTCAGTCAGGAAACATCCATGAGCAAATAAGTCTCAGAATCGTTAAACTGGCAAACAAAAGGAGCACCTTTTTTTTTTTTTTGGCTGAAATAAATTTTCAAGAGGAAAAACAAGGAAAAAATAAGGCCCCAAAGAAGATGCATCAATGCATGAATGTTTATTGTTAAAGAAGATAAAAAACCTAAAGTGAATCAAAAGTTTGTATCTTTAGGGAGAAAAGAAGAGGAGAAGAAAAGGAGGAAAAGCACAGATTTCATTAGAACAACACACTAAAAGAGGGAAAAGACCTAAACAAATTAAATTATACATCTAACAAGCACAAACAGACCTCTACTTTCAAAAGAGATTTAACCCAATTCTTCAAGAAACAAAACCCAGCAGTAATTAGTAAGTGCTTTTATCTCTTCTGGATTACAGTATCCAATAAATCTGAATTCCTAGAGGTGATGTTCCTCCTCCCCAAAATATAAATCATTAGAAAATGTTGTGCAATGCTTTTTCTGCTTCAGCTCAACTGGGTGCCACTGAAGTCAGGCTGCTGGGGCTGTGCTTATTCTGCTTATCTGAAAAATCAGTTGTGACCAGACCCCAAATATAAAGATGTGAGAAAGAACTGCAGGAAATGGGGACTTCTCCTTTGATGTTTCTCCTAGTTATGAATCGGGCTTTAAAATCCTCCCAGTCTCCAGGGTTTTGAAACAACACCTAACCTCCAAAACTCCTTCCGAAGAATGAAGCAGGTATGTAATGTGGGAAGAAAATATTATAAGCAATAAGATAACTCTTTTGTGTGTGTGCATGTGTTTGTGTCCATATGTGCCATGCTCGTTTAGCATGAAATCAGTCACTTGATGAAGATGTGAATGTTGTGCCACGGTCACAGGAAAGCACGGGAAAGAAAAACATGCGGCTTCAGAGTGTAGGCCTTTATTTTAGATGGCTTTAAAACCAAAATCAGTGCTCTCAGGTGGAACAGGATGCAGATCCCTCTTCTAACAACAAGGCCAGAGCAGAGCCTGTATTTGCTGCTCATGGGAGGTTTCCCACTGGTGCTGCCAATCTACAAATGGTGTGATTTCCTCCTGTCACTTGGGAGCTTATCTTATGACATGAATAAATACGCCATAAATGCCCCAACCAAAACTTAGTGCACATCTCATGCTCGCACACATTCTCATGACGAGTATTTTGAGATAAGCTTGCCTTTTCTTTGTCTGCAAAGGCTGCTTTGTGCCTTTGAGGTTTCTAGAGCATCACCTGATCCCTGGCACCAGTAGAAGAAATGGAAGGTCCATGGCCAAGGAGATCTGCGCTGACCATGCTGGTGGCACGAGCCGCCCAGCAGCAGTGAGGCTCAGCATCCCCACACTGTGTGTGTCCAGCAGCTGCTTTTTTGTCACGTGTCCATATGCAATGGGGTGAGAAAACCAGGCCAGGGTTGTGTGTGCGCATGGCTTTTGCAGCCTGCCTTGCTTCAAGAAGAAGGAGGAAAAAAAAAAGATTCCTCACCAGAAATGTAGATCAGAGGTGGAAAAATACAACCTAGGAAATGTTTCCAAACTCTTTGGAAAAAATGAAGATCAGTTCATGTGCTGCTGCCTTCGGCTCTCCAGCCGGTGTGATACTGGCAGGCCAAAGCCCGCATGAGAGTGAAGCACCCAGATAAAGAGCAGCAGCTGTGGCCAGAAGTTTTCTCCAGCCAATTCCTCATTTCCAAACATGCTAATCATTCTTCTCTGGCTTTAGACGTTTCCCCATGGACAGCTTCTTTTTTCTTTAGTTCCCATGTTTCAGGGGACTAAGTCGATCTGTTTCTGTAGAGGTGCCTGGTCTCTGATCTGTCAGCAAGGTTTGTATTGGTAGCATTAATCAAGTGCTGGTTGCTGCTTCTTCATTTCCTTTCGTGAACTTGTATTCTCCAACGTCTTTCTTAGATTCAAAGGCACAGAGCTCTCTAATTGACATGTTTGAGGAGGAGGAATAAGACATAGCCTTCAGCCCTCTTCAGATTAAGCACGGGCAGGGAGGTCTGCCGCTGCCAAGGTGTCCATGCCAGTCACTTATGGTTTTCAGCTCTGCCTGGAGATGGGAACCAGTGACGAGACGGTGCCAATAACACCACTCACAAACTTGGCTGGTGAATCATTTAGGTGTGTTTTGATGGCTGTCGTAGAGCTGTAGCATAAGACCTCACCAGGAATCAGATGCCATTTCTGAACTGAAATCTTCACGTTTGCTCCAGCTCACGGGGAAGTCCCAGGGTGGCTGCTGCAGCTGCAGCCTCCTGGGCATGAGCCAGAGCACTCGCAGGTCCCACCCGGTGGGGGATACCTTCTCCTTTCTCTTTTTGTTCTCGCAAAAATACACTATGTATGAGTTAGGTTTTTTTGGTTTTTTAGAGCAAGAGGGCTTGCTTTTTATGTAGCTCACTGCAGTTATCCCACAAGAGAGCTGCATATCTCTAAGGCCCATTTCTTTCATGATTTTTATGCACTTTCTTTTTTCTAATAGTTCTAATTTCTTTTTACTTATTATTGAGATAAAGTTTTGAGATTAAAACGAGCTGAAGTCATCTTGAGAAAGGTTGTTATTATTCTCATTGTTGAGATAAGTTCGTGCCATTAGTAATAGTAGTTACTATTAATAATATTCTATATAGTGGTATTTATTATTTATGCAGTGCTGTATGTGTGCGCATTACTTTCCAAACAGGTAAAAATGCTGTTATGTTATTGAGATAAAATTCACAAAATCATCAGCCATAATCACTGCCCTCTGTTTAAGGGTGAAAGTAAGTCCTTTGCAAAACATATCATCATCCAAACTAAAATGAAGGATCATGGCACTTCTCAAGCCAAAGGCACATGTAAGGGCAGTTATGAATTTGAACTATCTTGGAGGGCTCACTTGATTGCATAGTGTTTGAGAAGTATATAAAGGAGGGGGAATGAACGAATGAGAAAATACCACATAAGGAGATTATAAGGAAGAACCGAATACAAGTAAAGACAGAGCCTGGACATGTAATGGCAATGCATCTGTACACTTTTTCTTTCCAAGTCAAAATGTGTAGCTAATCCAGAAGTAAATAACTCATTTCTTACTGTACTTCCAACTCCTTTTTGACTACTATCCTGATGGCACACATGCTCGTCTTCACCACCAAGGCAGAGGTGGCATCACAGGTCAGATTGCCCACACGCGGGTTTCCCGCTGACAAAGTCCGGCACACCGACCCCCTTCATCTTGCTGCCGCCACCAGCGCCCTCCTGTCTCTCTTGTTTGAACTGGCACTACTACAGCCCACTGCAGAAGACACTGGCTCACTGCAGCCCACACAACTGATGTTCAGTCTCTAACACAGGTGTGTCTGCACAGCAGAGCAGCTTCTAGCCAGAGCAGCCCGTGTACCCATAAAAGTGGTATGCTTGGCTGCCGCAAGCTGTTGAGCTTGGTGGAGCTGTCACTTGGGGAAACTCCTTGGCCT